CGAATGGTCACTTGACTTCAGTAGTAGGAATGTTGCTGCTTAGGAATTGTCCTGACAAAGGCCTATTCCTGGACTTCTGCCAGAAGTGTCCCAGACCATCCCCCAGCATCTTCTAGGGGGGGGTCTAACCTGTTTGTTCAAGGCACTTTCCAGCTGATTTGATTCAAGCCCCCCCCAGCTTCAGGCCCTGTGGGTGCTCCTGAAAATCAGCCTCCAAATCTGTCCAAATTAGGCACCCAGGGGCAGATGTTCCTCCTGGAGGTGTTGCCTGAGCAAGGCCTTTCCCAGGGTCGCCTTGCCCATGAGGAGAATGGCAGGGGCTGAAGCCAAGGAGCTCCTGGCCACCCTCTTCTTCCCTGCTTCTCCTAGCTCCATGCTTCCACCATCCTCACGCTGTCAGGAGCCACCCCCCATCTCTCCTGGCTAAGCTCTGAAGAAGACAGGAGCTTGAGGGAGGATGATGAATCTTTTGTGTGTCTGGTCATAAATCCTCCTTCAAGCTCAAAACTTATTTCAGGCATGAATCAAAATGGAGAGGAGCAGTGACTGCATGAAAAGTCACTTGTCGTGCTCCTTCAAATGCTCAGCCTGGGCTGGGAGCAAATAAGTGCTAACGATGCCCCTTCTGCTTGTAGCCACCCTGTGACGAATGGTCACTTGACTTCAGTAGTAGGAATGTTGCTGCTTAGGAATTGTCCTGACAAAGGCCTATTCCTGGACTTCTGCCAGAAGTGTCCCAGACCATCCCCCAGCATCTTCTGGGGGGGGTCTAACCTGTTTGTTCAAGGCACTTTCCAGCTGATTTGATTCAAGCCCCCCCAGCTTCAGGCCCTGTGGGTGCTCCTGAAAATCAGCCTCCAAATCTGTCCAAATCAGGCACCCAGGGGCAGATGTTCCTCCTGGAGGTGTTGCCTGAGCAAGGCCTTTCCCAGGGTCGCCTTGCCCATGAGGAGAATGGCAGGGGCTGAAGCCAAGGAGCTCCTGGCCACCCTCTTCTTCCCTGCTTCTCCTAGCTCCATGCTTCCACCATCCTCACGCTGTCAGGAGCCACCCCCCATCTCTCCTGGCTCAGCTCTGAAGAAGACAGGAGCTTGAGAGCCAGCATTAAATTAAGTTTTGGATAGTGCCTGGAGCACACTTTGGTCCCTGTGTGAAATGAGGCCCCAGCTGTCACCCTAGGAGTGGTCCTTGAAGAACAAGCCCATACATATGTGCCTGACAGCCCTGCAAGGAACATGTCAGTGATCACGAGGAGCTTGTTGCTCTGCTGTGGTTCAGTGCAGACTGCTTAACTGTTCTCATCGTTCTTAGTGCCTTGGAAACGTGATTTCCCACCAACCTGGTGTAAGGTGAGAGGCCCAACCCTGTGGCTGCTCAAACTGGAGATTTCCAGAGTGCAGCCCCACTACAAATGACTTGGCAGCAGGATTTAAGTAATTTCTTACACGAGGGCTGATCAGAGCTTGTGGCACGCCAAGATGGCAGAGCCTGCTTGGGGTCTTTCTGGCTGGTGGGTGCTCTTGCTGTCACAGCCTGGGCAGCTCCACCAGCCCTGATGCTATCCAAGAGGAGGGAACATTGGCTGATCTGTTGTTTTGTGCAGCAGGGGCTCCTCAGGATGCTACCCTGAGCCCAGCAGGTAAAAACCCATCCCACAAAGTGTTCCAGAATCTATCTATCTGCACCCCTTGAATTAAAAAAGCAGCAAATGGGGAAAAGGAATATCTTTCCAAAGCTGAAGCACATGGGTAATGTAGCCATGACACAGGCACCCTCCCACGGGCTTCAGCTCCTCCAAGCAAAGCAAGTAGCTGCTGAGCACCAGCACGTCCCTGTGAGAGGGAGATGTTTGAAGAGCTGACACAGATTTGGCTGCCAAACCTGGTGCTGGCACGTTGTCTCCTTTGGAACAGCCACAAAACGTGCTCTGCGGCGCTGCCTCCATCCCCCTGAGCTGGGAGAGTGACTCCCAGGGAGTTCACCCCTCCAAGCAGGGCTGTTCCTGAGCAAGGGCTGGAGGAGATGTCAAGTCCCAGAGGGAAAAGTTGCATCCTGCAGGGATACGTTGAGTCCCCTGCTTCCTTCCAAACAGCTGCCTGTTGTGAGGGTTGTCCTACTCCTCCTCAGCCCTTAGAAGAAAAACAACCACCAAGCAGAATGCAAACTGCAATGAATGCTTTTGGTGAGTGCTGCCAAAAACCAAGACTTTTGGGGTTGGTTTTTTTGACATTTATTCCAGTTAAAATGGCAGTCCTGCAGTTCCAGGTGACCTGGCAGTGTCCGTGGGGCAGAGGTCCTTGGTGATGCTGCCATAGACCCCTTCAGAGCAAGGGGCTGGGCAGTAGATTCTAAAATGAAGCTGCTTGGGGGTGTTTTCTCCCAGAAGTTCCTAAAGCCACATCAATAGTGAGGTTGTTTCTTGCAGTTCCAGGACCAGAGAGTCCCCTTGTACCTGCCTGCCCTGCCTGAAGGCTGCTCTCCTGCTCCTGTCCCTGCACAGCCAAGCTGTAGCTTATCCTGGGAGGTGTTATCCTGCTGTAGGGATGAGGCTGGTTTTAGCAGGGCCAGGAGGACACCCCTGGAGGTGAGTGAATTGAGTTAATGACCCTGGCTGCCAGATCACCAAGCTGGTTTTATTCCCAGGATTTAGTCTGGGGAAAAAGAAACCAAAACATCTAAGATGGTCAGGGCCACCTCCCACCTCTTGGGTGCTCCTGTCCCCTGTGCCAGCAGGGGACAAACGTCCCACGTTTGCTGCCTCTGGCTGGCCACACACTGCAGTGCTTTGGGAGGGACACTGCTGCCCTCCTGGGGCTTGTCCAGCCTCTGGAGCAGGTGGAGGAAGGCTAAGCCAGCAGTGATGCAGCACTTGCCTGCAATTCCATCTACAGATAGAACTGTATCCAAAAGTGGTCATGCTGCACAGGGTGGTGTCTCAGGTGAGACAGGTAGAGCTGCAGGCTGGCTGTGCCCTGTGGGTCTGCCCCAATGCCCAAAAAAGCTCTGCTCCAGTGGGAGAGAGGACAGGGAGGCTATAACCTGCTGGGAGTTGGTGGGAAGAACTGGTGGATGAGCTCAGCTTGGCCTGGGGACATCACCACCAGCTCCAGAACAGATGGCTGGCAGCAGCACAAGGTGGTGCTGGAGTGGGGGGGTGGTCCCGGCTCTGCTGCTCCAACCTGCCTCCTTCCCGGGACCATAAGGGCCACTAAGATGATTAAGGGATTGGAGCAGCTGTTGTGTAAGAAGAGACTGAGAGAGCTGTGGCTGTTTAGCTTGGAAAAATGAAGGTTCTGATCCGTGTCTGTTCATGCCTATTACAGAAGACAGAGACATGCTCCTCAGTGCTGTCCCATGCACCAAACTCAGACTGAAGTACAGGGATTTGAGTCAAACTTCTGAAAAGCTTTTCCTGTGAGGGTGGTCAAGCACTGGCACAGGTTGCCCAGAGAAGCTCTGGTATCTCCATCCTTGGAGATACTCAAAACCCAACCAGGTGTGAGCCTGAGATGACCCTGCTTTGAGCAGAGCAGCAGGATGAGCATTTCCAAAGGTCTCTTTCCACCTCAGCTGTTCTCTGAGTCTGCTCTGATGTGGCTCAGTGACAAGACCCCCACCAAGAGATGCCACATCTTTATGGGAATGGGTCT